TGAGGGGCATGGGAGAAGATGAGGGACAGATATAGAAATTGTAGTACATTTACACAATGGAATACTACTCATCAATTAAAAACAAGGAAATCATGAAATTTGCAGGCAAATGGATGGAACTAGAAAAGATCATTCTGAGTGAGGTAACGCAGAAGCAGAAAGACATACATGGTATATACTCACTTATAAGTGGGTATTAGCCATATAATATATAGGATAGACATACTAAAATCTGTACACCTAAAGAAGCTAAACAAGAGGGAGGACCCTGAGTAAGATGCTCAATCCTCATTCAGAAATGTAAACAGGATAGATATCGGAAGAGGGAGAAATCAGGGAACATGACAGGAGCCTACCACAGAGGGCCTCTGAAAGACTCTACCCAGCAGGGTGTTAAAGCAGATACTGAGACTCATAGCCAATCTTTGGGCAGACTGCAGGCAATCTTATGAAAGAAGGGGGAGACAGAAAGATAGAAAGACCTGGAAGGGACAGGAGCTCTACAAGGAGAGGAACAGAAGCAAAAAATTTGGGCCCAGGGGTCTTTCCTGAGACTGATACTCCAATCAAGGACCATTCATGGAGATAACCTAGAACCCCTGCTCAGATGTAGCCCATGGCAGCTCAGTCTCCAAATGGAATCCCTAATCTCTGACATGAGCTCAGTGGCTGGCTCTTTGATCACCATCCCATGAGGGGGGAAGCAGCCTTGCCAGGCCACAGAGGAAGACAATGCAGCCAGTCCTGATAAAACCTGATAGGTTAGGGTCAGATGGAAGAGGAGGAGAACCTCCCCTATCAGTGGACTGGGGAAGGGGCATGGGAAGAGAAGAGGGATGGAGGGCAGGATTGGGAGGGGAGGAGGGAGGAGGTTACAGCTGGGATACAAAGTGAATACATTGTAATAAATAAACAAAATTAATTAGAAAAATTAAAAATGAAAACAACAACAAAAAAGTTCATAGTACACTTTTGTGGAAGAGACAGCAGGATCTCCAAGTTCAAGGCCAGTCTGGTCTACAGAGCAAGTTCTGGGAAATCCTGTCTCAAAAAACAAAAGAAACGTTCACAGCAATATTTAGCTTTCAGCAAGCTTTATCCAGCACTTCAACACCTGTTTTATTATTACTTCCACGTGGGAGATTTTTCCTCATGTATAAACTATTATCAAATCCATACTTGTATCCTTACATTACACTGTATAAACAAAGATTTTCTCTGGCAGCTGCTATGGAAAGGATAAAAAGGCCCTCTTTTCTAGAAGGCCCAGCAAACATTCCTTTTCTACAGTGTTTTTTTTTTTTTTTTTCATCTGTCAATCAGTACCTCTGAATAAAAAGAAAGAGCTGTAAGGACAGTAAGCACATGCCTGAGATAGTTCATTGCCCACTAGGAAACTATGTCCCTAAGGAAGGTGGTATGAGCTAGATAATAAGTAATTTTCTGCTTTTGCCATCATGTTATACAAAGTATTCTATATTAATAATCACTTTCCTTACTCATGAGAAAAAAAAATTAAAATCCATTTTACATCTTTAGTTCCATAACCAGTATGAATACTGTGAGGGATATTTGGATTAGAAGATAAGTCCCAGATTAGACAATAGAGAGGACAGTGCTGATGATGAGAAAACAAAAAGGGATGGTTCCTAGTGCTAAGAAGATGGCTATGTTTTATTCCTTTGGGGGAACTCTGAGACACTACCAGAAAATTATGACTTAACCTATATAGAAATGAAAATGAAAATGTATTAAATTCCTATCACCTGAATAAAAACAAGCCTATCCAAATAAATGTGTTTCATTTCCTAGGGTATAAACTGGAGATGACTTGTCTTGGTAGACCCACTAGAAGGCTGGTCTCTTCAAAGATGGCTTTCCACCAGACACTGTAAATGATTGGTGGTGACTGTCATTTAGCCAAGATGGCCAAATCCTTTTACTCCTTTCCTGATTCAGCCAGACAATAGTCTCTTGATTCTGCTTTCTAAGGGTTTCTCTTTTCTCACTCGTGTCTCCAATACAGTTATTTTTCCTTTTTCTTCCTTGTTTTCAGACAGGGTCTCTGAAGTCAGGCTGGCCTTGAACTCACTGGTGGAGGAAGCTTTTGAATTTCTCATGCTTGTGCCTTCACCTTCCAAGTACTAGGATCACAGACATGTATTACCATATAACTTAAGTCTCCATATTTAGCCATGCTCAACTTCTGTTCTTTTCTCTTTTCCCTTCTAAAATGCCTTCAAATCAATTTTTCTTCAGTGAATATCTGGATTTGAAGTCTCATCCTTGCCTCACAAGGTAAACTCTCTAAATGAACATGCAAGCTGAGCATGGTGGTGTCTGCCTTTAATCCTAGCACTCAGAGGCAGAGGCAGGTGGATCTCTGTGAGTTCAAGGCTAGCCTGGCCTAAAATGTGAGTCCAAGACAGCCCAGGGTACACAGAGAAACCATGTCTCGAGAAACCAAAAATCAAAAGAAAAACACAGAACAAACAAATAAACAAAGAACATACCGTACAAGAATCAAGCTTTCCAATCCCCACAAAAATTAGCGAACATTTTTGGTAGTTTCATGCAATTGCATGAATAGTATAAATAGTAATTCATTTTTTAAGTGTCAGTGGGATAATTTAAAACATAAGCCACAGTGTGACACTCTTGGTTATCAGTGTATCACCTTTGCTAGACTTTGCAACAGTTTGCAAAGTAATTGCACTGGCTGAACTGTAGCTAGAAGAATTTAAGAATATAATTAACAATAACCTTAACAATAGTGTCTGATCTTCTAAATTTCATAAATGTAAAAAGTATTTCATCACTGTATTCTTCCATATGTAATTTCTCATTTAGGATTCTTCTTCTGAGCAGCTCTACTGTCACTTTACTTTTATATGAAATTCTACATTTCTTTTTTATAGACATTCTTTGTATATTATGAATACTTTTGTTGGCTATTTACATTTTCAAAGGTCTTCATACTTGGATAAGATATTTCCTAAGATATTCTGAAAATGTGTGACAGTGATTGAAATCTCATGAGACAATTAAAAAGTAAGATTTAAAAATAAAAACAGAGGTCAATGGGGATCATTTGGACAAAAGTTTAGAGCTTTGGGAGCTTCTTTTGAAACTTAAAAAATATCAAACAGCTCCAATGACTTCTAGAACCTTCAAACTGTCTATGGTGCACAGTTTAAGAACCGGTTTGAGTCTGAACTCTCTATAAAGGGGGAAGAATCCAAAGCCAAAGAAGTTAAGTTGCTGACTTGGGGTCTGGCCTCTACATTCTTAAGGAAAACATGGGAAATATTCTGGAGCAGTAGGGAAGGCTGACGGTGACTCTAGTCTTGGAAGCCTAATTGTCTTCCTTTGGGAAGGCCAGACCAGAAGTTTTACTTCACAAATATGTCCTCCCAGTTTATTTCCTACCCAAACTCTGCCCTTGGTATCCAAGCTACTTGCCAATCCCTATGTCATTAGCTCTACTATAGATATGTAAGATTAAACTCTGGAATGTTTTTTTTTTTTTTTCATGGGTTTTTAGGCATGGCGGGAGGGACAAAGTAGGCAGAGGTTGATATGATAGTATGGAAAGCAGAGGCCAGGTTGACTGAGCTATTCACCATGACTAGCAGTTTGATGTTTCCTCAACTGTATGTAAAAAGGCTTCTTAAGGTGAAGGTGGAAAAGACTATTTCTATATAATGCTGCTGGACACAGAGGTAGGAACATAACTGCCAGCTGTTATTACTCATACCTCCTCAGGATGCTGTGCTGTGCACATATGCACCTATAAATTATCTAAAATACACAGGGGTTAGGTTTTGACAAAACCTTTCTCAGACAGGTCTAGGCAATTGTCCTCAGCAAATACACCCAGACTTGTGGACACTTGTCAATAGTATGACAGGATGTTACCTACCAGGACATTTATGAACTCTAGCTACAGCTCCTTCACTAATATCATGGCTGCACACAGAGGTCTGCAAGCTATGCCTGACTCTCATACCTGCTCAGGTTGAAATCTACAAATGGACAACTTAATTGTTTTGCCTCTCTACAGAATTACTTGGCATTGATATGTTATTGTTCCCCTAGTACATTCGTTCAATAAGCAAAGAAAAAAAAAGAAAAAGAAAAAGAGAAGAAAAGAAAAGAAAAGAAAAGAAAAGAAAAGAAAAGAAAAGAAAAGAAAAGAAAAGAAAAAAGAAAGGAAAAACCCTTTCACAGTTGAGCCAGTTTGAGCTAAGCTTTAGGAGACTTACGAGCCAGATGCAAGATGCTGGGGGTAAGGGGCTGGAGAGATGGCACAAGAGGTTAAGAGCACTGGTTGCTCTTCCAGAGAACCTGAGTTCAATTCCCAGTAACCACAGGGTGGCTCACAACCATCTACATCTGGTGCCCCCTTCTGGCGCTGTATAGATAATAAACAAACAAACAAACAAATAAATCTTTAAAAAAAAAAAAAGATGCTGGAGTGATCTCCAGATAACTTTGAGCCTTGTATTTTCAGGGTTACCCCCACCCCCACCCCATGTGAACAACAGTTCTCCTACAAATCACCATCAACTTAATCATTAATTACAGCAGCTTTTTAAAATATCAAATTCATTTTCATATTACATTTCTTGCATTTTGTTTTAAAATTGTTCCTTACTACCATGAACAGGACAAGGTTGTTTACTTTCCACTCCTGTTCAAAATATAGTGTCAAGGTTATAACAAGATCAGTAAGACAAGAGGAGATGATACATGGGCTACAAATAAGAGAGGAGAAGCCAAAGTAATATGACTTGACACATAAAAGACTCTATAAAGATTCTGCCAGAAAACTCCTACACCTCACAAATACTCAAAAAAAGTAGTATCCTACTACATTAGGATACTACTTTTATGAAAATTAACATAACAAAAATCAAAAGTTTTCCTATATAAAAATTATAAGCATAACAATTTTCTTAGGGTTTTTTGCTGTGATAAAATACCATAACCAAAAACAGTTTTGGGAGAAAAGGGTTTATTTCATCTTACATCTTGTAGTCCATCTTCCAGAGAAGTCAGGGCAGGAACTCACTGCAGGAACCTGGAGGCAGGAACTTATTCAAAGGCCGTGAAGGAATGTTTCTTGTTGGCTGGCTTCCATGGCTTCCTCAACCTGGTTTCTTACAGCACCTAGAACCACCAGCTCAGGAGTGGCACTTCCCACAATGGGCAGCCCTCTTGTATCAATCACTTCTTAAGAAAATGCACTATAGACCTTCCCTCAGGCCAATATGGTGGTGGCATGTTTTCAACTTCAGTTTCCTCTCCCAAAATTACTCTAGCCTGTCTCAAGTTGACATAAAAACTAGCTTTCATATTGATAAAAAAAATATCAAGAAAATAATTGCACTCATAACAGCCTTTTAAAAAGAAGTATCTAGGAATAGATCTAACCAAAGAAACTACTGACTTACAATGAAATATTTAAGGCACTGAAGAAAGAAGTTGAAGGAGATAGCAGAAGGTAGAAATACATTCCATGTTCACAGACTGTTCAGATTAATATTGTGAAAATGGCCATCCTGCCTAAGGCAATTAATAGATTCACCACAATCATATCAAATTTCAAAGTAGAGGTCTGTACAGATAGCTCAGAAGTTAAGAGCAGTTAATGTTCTTGAAGAGGACCCAGGTTTGATCCCAAGCAACCACAAGGTGATCTGTAACTCCAGTCCCAGGAGACCCAGTGCCCTCTTCTGAACTCCACAGCACCAGGTACACATTTAAATGTGCATGTATGTATGTGTATATATGTACATGCAGGGAAAACACTGTGACACATAAAATAGATTACATAAATCTTAAGCTTTTTTTCAGAAATTTCGACATGCTTCTTTACAGAAACTTATTTTAAATCTCATCACTTGTGCAGAAACACAGAAGATGAAGGATAGCAAGAATGACCCTGAGTAATAAACACACTGCTGAAGGTATCACCATTCCTAATTTAAAGTTATACTGTCGTTTCAAGCTATAGTAATCAAAACAGCATGGCACTGACATTGGAAAAAAAAAAAAAAAAAAGACACATCAATCAATGGAATAGAATTGACGATCCAGACATAAGCCCACATTCCTAACATCACCTGACCTTTGTAAAAGAAGCAATAAACAAAGAAACATTGCTTTAAAAACAAAAAACAAACAAGCAAAAAACCATCTTTAACAAAGAGTGCTGGGCAACCCAGATAGCTATAGGTGGAAAGAATGAAACTAGATCCTCACCTCTCATCTCTCAACCTACGCAAAATTTAACTCCAAATAGATCCAGGACTTCAACATAAGACCTGATACTCTGAATTTGAGAGTGGAGAAATGTGGGAATACATATTGACTTACAGGCACAAGAAAGGTGTTTTAGCATGGAACAGTGGTGGCACATGCATTAAGAATAGTAATGGGCCAATGAGCCCTCATGAAATTAAAAAGCCTCCTGAGGGCAAAGGACAGCACCATTCAAGTGAGGAAGCAGCCTATATTTGGCACCCAAGGGAGGAATTAAAAGCATGCACCACCACAGCCCAGCTGCTCCTGTATTTTGTTTGTTTGTTTGGGTTTTTTGGTCATCTTCTATAATACAAAATTCAAGTAGTTTATGCCTTTGGGTTGTTTGTAACATAAATCCTCTGTCCTAGAAGTCAAAATCAAATTAATTTTATTAGTGAGCCTAATGTAGGGTCATAAAATCATGAGGCTAAAGAGATGGACCTCTGTAGCCCCAGCTGGAGTGTAATCTGTGCAACATAAAAAAATCTCATCAAGTATTTAATAAGCAAACACAAGTATGGTGCATGGGGCTCCTCTCCTAGGACTCTAGCTACTAAGAAATATAAAACAGGAGAATCACAAGTTCAAGGCCAGACTCAGTATCTTAGCAGAGCCTTATTTCATCATGTTAAAAGAGAGCGTGGATATTAGCTTATTAATAGACACTTATCTACTTGGCTTCAAACCCAAGTGCTGCAAAAAAGAGGAATGAGAAATTTCCCTTTGTTGATTTACAGCATCTGAGAGGTAAAAGAGCATATGCAGCTCTTGTTCCTACAAGTATTCCTAAAAATCACAACAAAATGTTCAAAAATGGCCCAATAAAAATCAATTCCAATGTTCTCAACATGACTGCTGCTCTCTGCCCTGTTCTGTTTCTAACCATTTGTTGTTAACAAGAAGCCCATAATTTTCAGCAGAAAAGCTCAACTTATACAACAATTAAGCTCTGGTTTTGTAGTTTAAACTTTCATACTACCTCCTCCATCATAGTCAGTCTGCAATAAGTCTCAGAGAAAATGAAATACAACCTGGGATTATTATTGTAAGGGTGTCATGTTAGAGCTAAAAGAAGTGTTGGCATGTGTAAAACTGACAAGGTCCTTTCAGTCCTTAATGCTTCCCCTGGTATTGATCATTTATAGAGAACTCCATGTGTAGACTGGCATAAAACAGCCTTTAAGTTTTATAAGGAATGCATGCCACTACAACTTCCTATTAGAGGATAAGGACAGAGCTACCTTCTTCACTGAAGCATGGCCTTTGCTTTGCCTAGAACATTCCGTAGTCACTGTTACTTTTCAACCCTGTCTCATACTTACCTTACACATTCCGTACAGTATTCCTGCATGCTCTTATTCAGACCCACTCACAGTAGTTTCCAGGCTTCTCGGCATAAGAGAAATGCATGACGGCTCCCAGGGAAGAACAATCTGCTGACACCTTTATTGGCAACACAGTAATTTTAAGGGATAGACTATGAAAATCATTGTTAGCTGAGGGTAAACAAAAAAACTAGATCTTCTTCAAGATCTTCAGTTTAACCAAAGGAATGTTTTGTTATTAAAAAGTATTATCTAATACCCTGAGAGAAAGCATTTTTCTAATGATTTATTTATGCTTATTTTATGTGCATGAATGTTTTGTCTGCATGTATGTCAGGGCCCTTGGAACTGGAGTTATAGACAGTTGTGAGCTGCCATCTGGGTGCTGGAATTGAAGCGAAGCCCTCTAAAAGAGAGCCCTTAACTACAGAGCTATCTCTCCAGCCTGAGAAAACACTTTCTAAATGAGAATAATTTTACAATCTCCTCAAAAATTTCAGTCAAATTTTATTATTCTAGAAGTTGTTTAAAAATAACAGTCTCTTGCTAAGTATAAATATACAATGCTACTAAGTTCATTTTTATTAATTTTAAGTTGTTATATAAAAGCATAAGAAATATATATTCTAAATTTCTAGTTTCTAACATTTTTCAGTTATCTGTTATTTTGTACATTATATATACATAGATTGGAAATATTCCCCATCATCTTATTTTGTGTGTATTTATAGGATATATAAAAAAAGGATATGGGAGCTGCCTGACCCATGGGGTCATCTCCTCAGGATCCTGCGGCTGCTTATAGTCACCATAAGACTTTTCAGGGCTGTTGACATTGCCATTGTCTAGGGCAAGGACCTCGGATTGAGACAATATATTTGTAAAAATCTACATAAATGATACTACAGAAAAACCAGTTAACTGTATAAACCATACAGTACATGGATAATTAAAGCTTTGCACTGTAGGATTTTGTGGGGTCTGGGGCTGAATTACTTTCCTTATTTCAATGGAGATTGCCGGACCGTTAGATGTACCATTAGATGTAAGTATTTACGTTATCAAATACTTGGAAAAACACAACTATATCCATTAGTATTTAAAAAGAAAAACAGATCTGAGCCTTCTTGACTTCGAATAGAGACCCCCTGGTATATAAAATCCAGGTTTTATTTTCCCTTCTTTACACACCAGTTTGTGGGTTCTACAGTTCTCCTGTGTGGTTATTTTGATTCATTAGTTTAGTTCAAAATATATTATACTTAGATTTATTTAATAATATTTCCTTTAATAAATATACTATTATTTCTTCCCTGTTTCAATGAAATAATAATAGTGTCTTATTCTGATACTGTTCAATATCCTTTATATGGACAAATTGTCATTTGTGAAAACTAAAATTGTTACCAAAAAAAGAGAGAGAAAAGAGGTAGATAGAGACAAAAAGGAAAGAAACTTAATTTTATTCTGTGTTTCCACAAGAAAACTTGACAAAAACGTTCCTTTTTAAAATTAGAATTGGGTGTTTGGAATCATATACTAAATCACTTCACTAAAGAAAGGTAGAGTGTTTTGGGGCCCACAAGGTGGCGTTGTGAGTACATGATGGTGCTCCTATTGAGGGCATAACAGCATTTTCAAAACTGGATTCTCTTGATTTTTCTAAACGTACTTGGAATTGAAAAAGGTAAAGCTATTTGTATTACCTTGATCTCTTTTAGTTGTCTTATTGCTCTAGCTAGTTCTTCCAGTCAAAGTATCACTATTCACAGATGATATGTCACTCATGAATACATGAGGGACAGCAAAAATTCTACCAGAGAACTCCTTCAGCTGATAAAAACCTTCAGCAAACTGGCTGGATATGAAATTAACTCAAAAAAAAAAAATCAGTAGCCTCCTGTGTACAGAAGAAAAACAAAAACAGGCTTAGATAGAAATTAGGGAAAAATACCCTTTATAGTAGCCACATACAACACAAAGTACCTTGGTGTGACTCTAACCAAGCAAGAGAAAGACCAGTTCGAAACGAAAAAAACTTCAAGTCTCTGAAGAAAGAAACTGAAGAAGATATCAGAAGACAGAAAGCTCTCCCATGCTTATGGATTGGTAGAATTAACATAGTGAAAATGTCCATCCTATCAAAAGCAATCTACAGATTCAATGCAATTCCAATCAAAATACCAACACAGTTCTTTACAGAACTTGAAAGAATAATTCTCAATTTCATATGGAAAAACAAAAACAAAACAGAATTGCTAAAACAATCCTGTACAAGAACAGATCATCTGGAGGCATCTCCATCCCTGATTTCAAGCTGTACTATAGAGCACAGGTAATAAAAACTGCATGGTACTGGCATAGAAACAGGTGGATCAATGGAGCCGAATAGAAAATCTAGAGTAAACCCACACACCTATGGATACTTGATTTTTGACAAAGAAGCGAAAACCATACAATGGAAAAAAGATAGTGAGTCTCAGCATATGGTGCTGGTCTAACTGGATGTCTACTCGTAGAAAAATGCAAATAGATCTGTATTTATTACCCTGCACAAAACTAAAATCCAAGTGGATCAAAGACCTAAACAGAAAGCCAGACACACTAAACCTGTTAGAAGAAGAGCCTAGAACTCATTGGCACAGGAGACAACTTCTTGAACAGAATACCAATAGCACAAGCTTTAAGATCAACAATCAATAAATGGGATTTTATGAAACTGAAAAGTTTCTGTAAAGCAAAAGACACGGTCATGACAAAATGACAGCCTACAGATTGAGAAACAATCTTCACCAACCCTGTATCTGACAAAGGGCTAATATCCAGTATATAAAAAGAACTAAAGAAGTTAAAAAGCAACAAATCAAGTGATCCTATTAAAAACAGGGAACAGAGCTAAACAGAGAATTCTCATTAGAGGAATATCAAATAGCAGAGAAACAGTTAAAGAAATGCTAAATGTCCTTAGTCATCAGGGAAATGCAAATAAAAACGACTCTGAGATTTCACCTTATACCATCAGAATGCCTAAGATCAAAAACTCAAGTGACAACATGTGCTGGAGAGGGTGTAGAGAGAGGTGAACTCTACTCCATTGCTGGTGGGAATGTAAACTTGTACAACCACTCTGGAAATCAATCTGGTGTTTTCTCAGACAATTAGGAATAGTGCCACCTCAAGATCCAGCTTTACCACTCCTAGGCATATATCCAAAAGATGCTCAACTATACAGCAAGGACATTTGCCAAACCAGGTTCATAGCAGCTTTATTTGTAAGAGCCAGTATCTGGAAACAACCCAGATTCAACTGAGGAATGGATACAAAAATTGTGGTACATCTACACAATGGAATACTACTCAGCAATTAAAAACAAGGAAATCATGAAATTTGCAGGCAAATGGTGGGAACTATAAAAGATCATCCTGAGTGAGGTAACCCAGAAGCAGGAAGACAGACATGATATATACTCACTTATATAAGACATATAACATAGGATAATCATACTAAAATCTGTATACCTAAGGAAGTTAATCAAGAAGAAGGACCCTGGGTAAGATGCTCAATATTCATTCAGAAAAGCAAACGGGATGGATATAGAAAGATGGAGAAAACCGGGAACAGGATAAGAGCCTATCACAGAGGGCCTCTGAAAGACTCTACTCAGCAGGGTATCAAAACATATGTTGAGACTCATAGCCAAACTACGGACAGAGTGCAGGGAATCTTATGAAAGAAGGGTGAGATAGAAAGACCTAGAGGGGTCAGAAGCTCCATAAGGAGAGCAACAAAACCAAAAAATCTGGGCACAGGGGTCTTTTGTAAGACTGATACTCCAAACAAGGACCATGCATGGAGATAACCTAGAACCCCTGCACAGATATTGCCCATGGCAGCTTAGTCTCCAAGTGGGTTCCCTAGTAATGGGAACAGGAACTGTCTCTGACATGAATTCAGTGGCTGGCTCTTTGATCATCATCTCCTGAGGGAGGATCAGCCTTACCAGGTCACAGAGGAAGACAAAGCAGCCAGTCCTGATGAGACCTAACTGGTTAGTGTGAGAGGGAATGGGAGGAGGACCTCCCTGATCAATGGACTTGGGGAAAGCCTTGGGAGATGAGGGATGGAGGTGGAATCAGGAGGGGATGAGGGAGGGGATACAGCTGGGATACAAAGTAATTAAACTGCTAAATTTTTTAAAAAGTAGAATCCAAAAAAGAAAAAAGTTGAAATCTGATTACACATTAAATAAGGAGCAACTTCAAAAAAAAGGGGGGAAAAAGGGGTTGTTCTCCTCTACTACTGTCTGACCTTATCCTATCAGGTCCCATCAGCCATCAGGGCTATCTGGATCCTCTTCCTTTGTGGGCTGGCTAGGTCAACCAACCAAAGAGACATGATCAAAGAGCAGGCAACCGAGTTCCTATCAAAGACTGCCTCTTCTCCCTTACTATGGAACCCACATGGAGACTGAGCTGTCTATGGTCTACATCTGAGCAGGGCTACCTCTGAGGAGGAGGTTTAGGTACTTTCTATGCACGGTCTTCATTGATGCATCTGTCTCTGCAGTCCCCACTGGTCCTAGCTTTTTCTCCTTAAAAGCCGTGAACTTTCCATTATTAGAAAGTGAATCCATGTACCACATGGATGGCCACCATATGTGCTGGTGCTGATGGTCTTAGGTTACCGGCCAGAGCATTTGTTGGTTACAGGCCCAGCACTCTTCCCACAGGGAACACAAAAGAATCATGCTGTCAGCATCCCAGTGCTAAGACAGTAGTGCAGCTTCCTGACCACACATGAAGAAGTATTTGTTTAGTTTTCGGAGAGCACTTAAGTTTTGAGTTACAATCTATTCAGCAGCACAGACTGTAGACTGTACATATGAGATCCTCCTGGGTACAACATGCAAATCTTAGCTGGAATGTTTCCAGGAGGATATAGACCATGGTCCTCCATCCCATACTTTCAAAAACATATGACTTAGCACACCCCCAAATGTCAACACAAAAAATACAGAGCTTGCTTTAACGATGTCACGCTGTAACAGCAATATACTGAAATAGACAGTTTACTGTGAAAACTGAATGAGAAAACCAGTACAATTACAGCTTAAAATATTAAAACTATTTATTTAGGAATGAAAAAACTCACATACCAAATAGAATCCAAATCTTAATAAAATAGTAAAGTACATTAAATTTATACAAGGAATAGTACAGAATATATAAGTAGCCAAAGTCCTATAGAAGTTTATGCAGAAAATTCTATAATTAGTGACTTGAACATTTCAGTAACTCTACAGTCTTTTCAAACCTGCAATAGAACAAATGATAGATTTGCTAAGTCCCTGGCTCATAATGAATAACAGGACTTAAGTTGTTAGTTTCTGAGCTGAAGATAAACTTGAGGGTTTTTCTTATTTAAATAGAAGAGAGTAAAAATAAATACATCAATTCTTGTAGCATAAGTTATTTTAGAATTTTTCAAATGTCAAAGAGCTTTGCAATTTTTTAAGGTAGTAGGGTGAAAATATTCTGATATCACTTCATCATATCATATCATTTAAACCGCTTTTTGCTAAAACTAGATATAATGTCATTTGTTCACAGTGTAAGTGAACAATATAGGATCATCATAGCTACTTCATCAATAGCTAACTGGAAGACCAGCAAGATTAACATAATACTGAAAATGTCTCCAAACTTTCCATCTACATGCACATAATGTTTAGGTAAATCAATTATCAGAAGCAGAAAATTGTGAATTATCAACTAAAGCATCTCTGCCCTTTGTAGCCCATGATTAATTCTGTGAACAGTGTTTTACATAATTTGTTGGAAACCAAAACAATGACTCATCTCACATACATACAACTGGAAGTAGATTTCCTATCCACTGAAATCTTGAAGGAAAATTCCACCTTATTGAGACTTTCAAGGTCTGAGCACGTATGTACATTCCATGTATACTGTACTCCAGTACAGTTCCCTACATAGAAATGATTCCTGTTGCCCCTTTCTGTTACTTACATTTTTTCCATCCTTTCCATTTTCCGGATTGTTGTTTCCTTTAATTTAAAAGCAACAAATTTAGGCAATTTCTCAAAGTAAGCAATCCTCAAAAATGGAACATGAATATATAAAACACACTCTGAAGCACTGCGTACAGTGACTCTATGAACTCAAATATCCCTTAAGAGCTTAAATTTATAATTTACAATTTTTCTTGCCAAGAGTATACCCTACATAGTGTGCTAAAACAATACTTGTTTCTTCTCGACCTTAGAAATCATCTAAGAGGCGTTGACATTCTCTTACCTCTGAAAAATCCTTGAAGCTACAGTAATTAATAGTGGAGCTCCAGGGTGTTGACTCTGATGATACTGTAGGACAGCTAGACAACCGAGACGTACTTGCTGGTTCCCCAACACTGTCTTTTTTATCTGTGAAGAAATTATATTTTATGATATCTTTCCATTACATAGTAGATCCAAATACTTAAAATTTTTATTAACAGATAAAATAAATAAATCTAAAATGGGTTACGGATATAGATAATAACTCACTTGAGTTTTTAAGTTTTTATATATATGGAGACACAGATGCTAAAAATTCTCTAATAAAAATGTTAAAATACATTTGTGCTCTGTGGTATATGCTTGTAATCATATGTACTTGGGAAGCTGAGAAGAATCATGAGTTCATGGCTGGCCTAAGCAATAGAGAAAAACCGTGTGCCCCAACTCCCGAAAAAGATCCGGGATTATTTTTCCTTTATCGTGATAGAAATCACTTTGAATTAATATAAATGTTAGCAATTTAAACTATAAGCTACTTAAGCCTAGTGTATTGGCACTTGACTGCTCTTCCAGACATCCTGAGTTCAATTCCCAGCAACCACTTGGTAGCTCAGAACTGTTTGTAATGGAATCTGAGTTCCTCTTCTGGTGTGCATGAACAGAGCACTCATACACATAAGAAGCACAAATAAATAAATCTTGAAAAATAAAACTATAAACTACTAACTTATGTGCTCCTTTCTTTTATAACCAATTCTTGGCAGTCTGTGATTCTCTATTTTCTTTATTCAAAGAGCTCTGTAATTTTATTTTATTAATAAAAATGTTTAATAAAAGCTGGGTGATGTCTCCATCAGTAAAGTGCTTGTTTAATTCCAGAACCATGTTTAAAAAAAAAAAGAAAATCAGATGTAGTGACGTACATCTACAGTCACACCACTAGGGTGATGAGACAAGAGGATCCTGAGAGCTTGCTAGCTACCAAGTACAGCAAAGTTGGTGAGCTCCAGGTTCAATGAAAGACTTTACCTCAAAGAATAATGTGGAAAATGACCTCTTACACACATATAAACACACACACATACAGAAGGATGATAATGTTAAATGTCCATAAAAACCACTGTTCTGAAAGATTGAAGCCAACAGTACTAATACAATTTAAGGACTTACCATAGGGTATAATATCCATGCCACTAACAGAATCATAGTCTTCACATGCTGCATTATTCTCTTCAGAATGAATATTCTGGAAAGTACAGGTAAATATTTAGAATAAAATTAAGGGTGTTTCATTTTATACTGATAGACATAATACAAGCAAAGCACAGGGAATATTAATATATAATTGTTCTTACGTATATAAAAAAAAGAAAAACTTTTAAGTGTAGAAGTAGATAGTAACCTTCTTCAATCTACAACCCCAGTCTCTAAAAAGGTAAAGGCAGACTAGAAACAGAAATCTTTTTTTTTTAATTGCTCAATTGGGAAGTAATATAAGAAAATTAGGTAAACAGATATTAGTGAAAAATTGTCCACAATATTAACATTCCTTTATTCATATCATGTGATTTTTTTCTATTTCCTGTAAAATTTATTTCAATGCAATCAATAGTATTTTCTACTTACCATGTTAAGTTATAATTTTATTCATTTATACCTGGGAAATAAATCTTTATTTGTAAGTAGAAACAAAAATCTTAAAACAAGATTTCTCAGACTACATAAGGCAATGGTAAATGGGGTGGTTTACATAAGCATGGGCCCCACAGATTCACATATTTAAATGCTTCCTCACCAGGGAGGGGCACTATTTGAGAAGGACTGGGAGATGTGGGTTGTTGGAGGAATGTCACTAGGGGTGGGCTTTGCGGTTTCAAAAGCCCATGCTGAGCCCAGTGTCTCCACCTCTCTCAGCTGCTGTTCCAGCAGCCATGTATGCCATGATGCTGTCATGAGGACAATGGACTAAGCCTCTCAAACTGTAAGGAAGTCCCCAATTAAATGGCTTCCTTTATCAGAGTTGCCTTGGTCATGGTGTATCTTCACAGAAATAGAACAGTGTCTAAAAATGTAATTTTGATAAAAACGTTTCTATGAAATTTACTTTATGATTGAAGTTAATGCTGAAAGAAGAGTTGTAATTTTAATTTTATCCCTTCTCCAACTTTTCCTGTAAACTGAAGAAGCTCTCTATCCTACTAAAATACGCAAAATAATTTAAAGGCTTTCTAAATATTCTTACATCATTCTAAGAATTACAAGTACTATTAATCACTAAAGCTCAACTTACAGGTTTTTCAAATTATCTTATTTGATAGGAAAACAAATAGCCACAAGAAGTATAATGAAGCTTTTTAAACTTAAGTAGACTTTATTCTAATTAAACATTTCTCATTTTCTATATAGCTTCACTCACATATAGCATTTCTAAGAAAACACAGATTTACTAAGGTAAGTACTTCACTATACATGACCAGTTTACATAGTGATACCTTCTTAGCCAAAAGCATCTCTGTTTCAAGAAGAGTGACTCGACTTAGAAGGTTATTCCAGGCCTTTTCATCAACCATCACTTTCCCTTTTACTGCAGCTTCCAAACACTCCACCCTTTTCTCTAGCCAAGTCAGCTTCTTAAGCTTTTCTTGACATTCAGCCAGTGTGATCTGAAGTTCAGTAATCTCAGGATTATTACAGATAGCCTAAAATGAGAGGCAAGATCACAGATGAAAAGCAATCAATGTATTTCCATTCCTTTGTGTTGTTTTGATAGCCCAGGAAGAAGAGTATAAGAACACAGAGCCCTCCCTGCAAAAAGCAGTGGACTTTAACATGAGTCTGTCAGATGTGACTCCAACAACTATTTGGGAATTCATATGCATGATGCTCTTTAGTTTCTTTAAATACAAACCCAAAAGGAAATAAGCAAAAAAACAATGTGATGATTACCTAGAGTGTCACACAGCAGAAAGTAAGGCCATAAATAATCATTCATAAATCCAACTGTAACACAAAATGTATAAAAATCAAAAGACACAAGCATTTTAGCAGAGCAGATTATATACATAATGGTACTTGAGTCAAGAAGAAACAGAAGTGGAAGGATAGCAAGGAGTCAGGTTGGATGGCACACATCTATAATCCTACCACACAAAAGGGTAGGCAGAAGGATTTTTTCAACTTCAAAGCCATGTTGGATTACATAAAGACAGCCAAAGCAACAAAGACCAAGCCCTTTAGAGCAAATATAGCAAAAACTCAACCAAAGGAAAATATGGAAACAAAATGCCAACCTTTTCTACTTAACAACAGAGGAAACAAGTGGTAGAAAACTCTACTGTGCAAAGTGGTACATCTCTCTTGGTAGATCATATTGCTGGTACAAGTACTATCTCTTATTTCTCTTTGCTTTACTTCTAACTCAGGAGGAAAACTCCAAACATCCCACAATTGGAAGTCACTGAATCACATTCAGTAGGATTGATTCCTTAAGTAATAACATAGATGCCATAATTTAAGAATTCAGAAACATTCCAGCTTTCAAGCACTGAAATAATCAGATACCAATGCAATGTGTTACACAGCTCCCCAGTCCTTACTTGCAGCTCAGCCCTGACTTCCGAGATACGTTCTTCAGGAGTCATTACTTCACAAGTCTTCTCTTCTGACTCATCACACCCATCACTCTCTTCTGTGGAAATTACTGTCCCTTCAGGAATGCTGACACTGTCTTCAGTATACAGGTGGCGGATCACCACAGCTTTCTTCTGCATTGAGACAACACGGAAGAAATACTTCAGTGGCTTTACTGTCATAATTCCTTTAAGTGTGCTCACAGCAATTCTCTAGACAGACTGTAGAAAGACTAAAAGACATTTAAATTACCACATAAAACATATCACAAAAGAACATGCTAATATTAACATATTTTAATATGTCTTTGTGAAAATGTGGTTCAGCTTTTTAAAAGAATTCTTATGTCTTTGTTAAACATTTTAAAGATTTCTAGCTTTGTTTCAAAATGCTGGAGAAAGCAATTACAGTAAAGATGAAACATGATTAGCAAAGATATGAACACTTGTTGAAACAGGCTGATCTGTGCTTTTGTAAATGTTTGAAATGTTACATGACAGGAAGTTAAAACAAAACAAATCAAAAACAACTTTTAGGTGTGGTAGCAAACAACTATAATCCCAGCATTCACTAATTCCAGACAAGAGGATTATAAGCTTCAGGTCTGCCTGGGCTATATAGTAAGACTGTCAATGAATAAGGTACACAATCAAGTAAAAGTTGTGCCATAATTTACAAGTTAAATAACAACTAGCTGTCTGAGGACTCACTATAATTTCTTTCTATTAAACAAATCACTATATATACTTTACCTTTAGCTAAAAGTTCAAAACACTAAAGGGAAAAGTACCAGCAAGGACCTTGCACTTTATCCACTGTCCTTCTACCTATGTGTTGTCTGTTTAGACACTGAAAACCCTAACAAAGGAAGAGAACATAAAGCACATCTATATGAGATGAGGCTTCAGAAAGGAGACAATTTGCTTTAGCACTGACTCAACTTTTCTGTCTGAATTCTACTGACTTTTTAGTAGTTAATCAAGTTTCTGGTTATAAAGCTCTAGTCATGTATTTTGGATTAGGGAATGAATAATTCTATGTATTTTGCTTTATCTAGAAACAATGTACACCTTTTATCTAATTACACATTGATTATTCATCTATATTCTGTCCTCTCACCCAAACTGAAAATAGCTGGAAGTACATTTATTATTAAAATGACATTTTAGCTCAGAGATACCCTTGGATATAGTAAATGCTCTCTAAATGTATTGGATTCATTTAGCCACAGGTGCTCAACAGTGACAAAGGCAGAAACAATCTATTCCTATGAGTAAAGAATGCTCAAAACAGTAACTCAAAACCAGATTCCAGATTATTACATAATCTATATTCTTGGTTATCAATGCATCTAAAGGAATCTTGATAACCACTCTTGTTACTAATAGATTCCTTACTACATATACACGTCTTTTAGAGATGATCAATTATGTAATTAACAATATATGTTGAGGGGCTGGAAAGATTGCTCAGGTTAAGAACATGTATGGCTCTTGTAAAAGACATAGATTTGAATCCCAGCACTCACATGGAGGCCCACAACCACCCATGACTCCAGTTCCAAGGAATATAGCACTTTCTTCTGTTCCATTCTGGTGCACATATAGATGAGATAAAATAAATATTGTTTTTAAAACAGTAGATATCAATGCCTCTATAATATAACCATACTAAATTTTATCAGGAAAATGAAAAAACAATTCAAAATTAGGAATATAAAACCTATTCAATTTTTTCCTTTTTACACTCTTCTCACAACTTTAGAAATAGTTCCTAAACATTCTACGCTGTTGAAAAGTGCCATGCTGAGACTATATAGGTGGAGCAAAGGGAAGGGGGTATAAGAGAGAACAATAGGGAGTTGGATATAATCAAAGTACTGATATAAATAAATAAAGGCCATTTTTTAAACCAATAAGTACTAATAAAAATACCTATGATATCTGACTAGAATATCTCATCAAATGTCAGTTGAAGTCATGAATCTTTATTGCATTCAGATATACTTCTGTTCCTTTGCATTTTCCTACCTTTCCTGAAGTCATAAACCTGCCAGTGATATCAAAGCCAACAGCCTCGGCAGGGGTTTTCTCCTTGTTCGAACAAGCCTCCGGCTCTTCTGAGATGTTCTTCTTTCTTTGGCATGACAGATTCTAAGTAAATAAAAATAGTAGACAAAATACATTTTGTAGACAATTATGATATACTATTTTCTATTACATACTAAATTCTATTATTCAGATACTTTTGACAATAGCAAATAGTAAAAGTAATGAAACAACTCATTTTGTTTCTTTGTTTATTGTAAACTTAAGTGAGACTGGTATGGTGGAGCTATAATTCCACACTTAGAAGACTGAGGAAAAAAGACTGAGGCCAGCTTTGGTTATGTAGAAAGTATGAGGCCAACCTGGGCTACATAGTTAAAAAGAGACAATAAAACAAAAACTTCAAAAAGCATCAAAAATACTTTATCTTTGAACTGCTAATTTAGTTCCATGTCACAGATATATAATATATGTGAGCAGTATCAGAGAAATCATTGTCCTTGACAGGGTTATACCCTATATGTCGATAAACCTATGGCATTGGATATGTGAGCTGTATGGAACAATATAATTGAGAATTACCTAGGTGCTATGGCCTTATCCAGGTACAGATTGTAGTGACCTGTACTCAGAAAAAAGCTAGCTGTGAAATATTTATCTCCTCTAGAGTAGGCTCCAAGACCTAAATGTTTACAGGGAGGAATCCTCAACATCTCTGTGGTTTTACACATTCAAATTCCCATCTTGGACCTAAAGAACCCATGTTTGAGCCAAACTACCCTTAATTTCTAAAAATGCCCTTAAAATTCCTACAATTACGCATATAACATTAACACAGAATTCCCTTCAATAAATAAAACACTGATGCCTAAGATTTTGGGGTCTTCACCCACCAAGCTTAGCTGCCCCGTCCCTTCCCTGAAGAAAAATACTACTGCCTTTGCTTCAGTAAAGCTGTCACTATGCTTAAGTCTCTTTTATGTCTGTCCATGAATTCTTTCTTTAATTAGAGTCTAATGAGACAAAGACCTTGTGGGCCCAGCAAGTCAAGTGACAATGCATTTTTTTTTAATAATTTGCTATCCTTTCAAATAATGGAGGTTTCAGCCAAAGTTAGCACTAAAATCTATTCATAAAATCACCTTTTCAACGGCAATCAATTCCTTGTGCTTTTTCATCACACAATTCAATATATCACAGACAATTTGGATTTTCCACTCAGCAAATCCAGACTGTATAAACTGCTTTTTTGTCAAAACTGGTTTATAATCAAATTGATCACGAAGAAGCTGCAAAAAATAAAGGTAAAAATTAGGAACAATTTATTCATATAATTCAAAATTTTATAACCCTTGGTCAGAAGGTAATAACTACCTTTGAGAAGACGATCAGGCCATTACGTAAAGTATACAAAGGGCCTAAAATTATAGAATGGGTGTTGAGTTATGCTCAGGTATGAGACTGATTGCTAGGGATATGCCAGGGTGAGGCAGGAGGGAAGAGGTGGAAAGAGAAAGAGGGAGGGGGCAAGGAAAAGATGGACAGAGAGCACACTTCAAAAAGCCAGAGCTACATGAGACACTGTCTCAAAAAATAAAGCAAAACAAAACAAAGTAAACAAACACACACCAAAAAAAAAAAAAAAAAAAAAAAAAAAATCACAGTACTTGACCAAAATTAATGGTAAACATAAGGTTCTTAAAAGTAAAAATCAACTGAGATCAAATTCAGTCTCCATTGAGGGGTCTTGATGTTACTGGAGTTATAAGACCTGGCCTCAGATCCCAAGGAACAAACTATGCTAATTTCAGTTTATATCTCACTAGCAAATTCATGCAGAAGCCAGTGGATTACAAGTTCTCTTTTGTTTCATCCAGTATATAAACTTTTACTAAAACTTCATAAAAAGCAGGCAAATTACAGCCAGTGACAGCATTTACCAGTTGCCATAATTAATAGGAAATGTTGACAAAGCAAACATGAATTGTATCTTAACTGCAATAGAGACCATATTTTAATGAGATAAACAATTATGGAAATACTGTCAACTATACATACATATGACACTTATCAACATATGAGAGTGGGCCCAGATTACAATGAAGCTGAAATTTTTTCTGTGGCCTAGTATTTTAACTACATTACTTCGGTATTTAGACACAGAAATACTTACATTGCACTAAAAACACACAATATTCAGAACAGAAACAGGTTACAAGTTTGTAGCCCAGGAGCAATAGGTTATGCATACAGGCCACGTCTAGGTCTGTGCAAGCACAGTCTGATGTTTGTCCAATGCCAAAATTGCCTATGGATGCATTTCTCAGGATGTATAGCACTGTTAAGTGAACACGCAACTGTGTTTTCATTGTTATTACAAAAGTATTAATTTTAAAAATCATTCCATAAAGTAATTATTACTTCATAAACTCAAAATACCTTATAGATGGTATCTGTAAAGCGCACATCATTCTTCGCTAAGAGCTCCACATTGGATTCCATCAGAAGTTCTGATACATAAGGGGAATATGAGGTAAAAGAATAGCTGATGATGGGCAAAAATGCTGCTGTTTCTCCCTTCATCAAACTGTCAGAAAAAGGGAAAAAGACTTTTAATTAGCAAAGTCCCAAAAGCTATGTGATTAAGTATAATTAGCAATATTGTCATTAACTTATTTACTCTTATAGGAACAATAATGAAGCAATATATGAATCTGATCAGACTATAAAACAGTACTGTGCATTCTCACGTGCTCAAATCCTCACTATCACTGTAGAGTATCTCCTACAGTGTTTACTGGTTTTATGAGGTGTATTCTTACTTGACCTATTTTATTTCTACTGTAAATATAAAGAAAGTACCACCTTACAGTTCTCAAGAGTATTTTGTTTTTGTAACATTTGTTACATTAACTCATTTGTTCCTACAAAAACTTGGAATGGTTAATCTTATGAACTATATAGGTTACAAATGAGGAACACACAGAAAAGAGCTTATGTTGTGATTACACACCCACTTTCTGCTTCCTTGAGATCTGTATCTTCTCAGTTCTTGGCTAGGAAAGTATCCTACATTTTGCCCATATCTTTATTCATTATGACTCATCAGATAAATGCTGACTTCCATGAAGCCACCATCTCAAGTATCTGCTGCCACATGCTATCTGTTTCTGATTGTCTACTTATTTACTATTGTAAAATGACTTACTGATTCTTCCACAAAAAAGCAAATGAACTATTTCTTCACTTAGCCAACTGAAGTTATACTAAATATACATATAAACAGTATGTTTTCCACAGAATTCAAAATGTTTGTGTAAACCTCCCCATCTCCAACCCAAACTTTTTTAAAATTTTAGTTTTCATTTGTATGTGTGTGTCACACATGCTCCATGCCCACAGCACAGGCAGATATAAGCACCTGATGTGAGTGCTGGGAAGTAAACTCTGCTTCTCTAGAAGAGCTGCACATGCTCTTAACTGCTGAGCCATCTTTCCAATCCTCCACTCAAACTTTAATAAAACTTTTAAAGCATGGAGACTGCTGTAAGAAATCTCACTAATTGGGATTTTTCCTGCTAAGAGAACACATGATATAAATGTTTAAAATCTATCTTCTATACAATGAATACACAAAGAAATAAATTAGCAAAAAATGGTAACATCATATTGGCTACATTAAAAAATACTACTTACTACTCTATGGAATGAGAGAATGGAAGATTATATAATTAATAAAATCCATTATACTCCAGGGAGTTTAAAATTATATACAGACAGTATCTAGACTGATGTATATACAGCTAACAAACAAACATTTTAAATCTCTTGGGTTGGAATTTTTATTAATTCATACTTCTAAGTTCCTACAGTTTTCTGCTTTCTTAAATATTATAACATATACAAGTAAATTTCCTTTAAATGTATTACAGCTGTTTGTTGTGTGCATGTGTGTGTACATGCCCTCACATGCATGCACATTAGGAAAAGCACTTAGGCACACACATGAAGGACAAAGGACAGTTAAGTCCTGAGGACTGAAGTCAGAGTCATCAGGCTTGGCAGCCAGTTACCTTTCCAACTTGTCAGCCCACGAGTGTATTTAAACAAGAGCCAAAACCAAGCAAGCAAACAAACAAAAACCCCTAACAACAACAACCAAACCTATTTTCATTTAGGACCCTCATTGTGTCATATATCACACAATCTCAAAGTTTTAGCAAACACACCTCCCTAAACACACACGAACACACACAAATAACTTTCAAATATCAAATGTATTATAGCTTACCCAATATAATCCACTTCGTTAGGGTAATTTAGCGAACGAAGCACTTGTTGTAGCTTCCGCAAGCTTCTCCTTAAGTCACCTGTTGCCATTATTTAATATTAGATTCAGCTCCTAATCTTTCAACTTTTCATCTAAAAATAAAATTATGAAGTACTGGTTAAATGTTTGCTTCAGAAAGCTGTTTTTCTCTACTCCATGTGTCTCCTATATCTGCTCTGTATGCATCTCCTACACCTGCTCTGTATGTGTCTCCTACGTCTGCTCTGTATGAGTCCCCATATCTGCTCTGTATAGGTCCCCTATATCTGCTCTGTATGCATCTCCCACATATACTCTGTATGTATCCCCAGCACATTCACATCACACTACTTCTACGCCTCAGAACTTAGCACTTCTGTGGCAGGTTAAATGCTTACTGCATTGCACCAACTCTAAACCCTAAATCTAAACCTGGCTTCAATCTCAAAAAATAAGTTTGTCTTATATTTATGTTCTTCCAATGTATTTCATCTAGCACTCTCCCAAATATGTTTACCTTAAATGACAACAGATTACAATAGTTACTTTTCCCTGTGACCAAATACCTAACAGGAGGACACTCAGTGGGAAAGAGGTTTATTGGTTCAATCCTTGAGGGGATATGGAGCCTCCTAGTATGGAAACCATGGTGGCAGGCAGCACTGAGGTGGCCAGAATGTGAAGTAGCTGCTAGCTCACATTTATCCATACCAGAGGACAAAACAGCAAAGAAGTGGAATCAGGCTACCTACCATCTCAAGGTACCTTCACTCCCCAAGCCACCTCCTCTAGCTAGGTCCCACCTCCGAAAGATTCTATAACCTGTCAAATTAGCACCCTAAGCTGGAGACCAAGTGATCAAACATAAGAGCCTATGGAGGACACTTCACATCCAAATCACGGCTGGTACCATTTGGAAAAACATAGCAAGTTGAAATAGCTTTCATCATTAATTACCTTGAGCGCTTACAAAACGTATATAATATAACCAATAAAAATAAACATAAATATAGCACAGATTAGTTATTATTCCCCAGGGCTTGGATTTGAATTTCATGCAGTTGCCAATCAGATGCCTATCTTAAAACACAAAACAAAACAAACTCTTAGTTTACCATTATCTCGCTCAAGAAAATTGTAAGAGTACTTTGAGAAACAAATTCTCTGAGACTAAAGTTCCTTGAAAATGAAATCACTGGCATTAAAAACAAGAACAATTAGATGAAATATACTTTATATGACTTTTCCCAGTCTGCATTTCAGCAACTATCAACACATAAATCACCCCTTCCCATACCACCTCTGTATCTACATAGATCAAGAGAAGTAACTGAAGCTGGCAATTTGCAAAATTGTAAGCCTGGGCCACCACCCATTTCTGTAGCCGTTTCCCTAGATTTGGGCACCTATTTAATCTCTATATGAATACCATTCCCATTTCCAGTCTGGTCTTTATGAACATGGCAAAGAACAAGCTGCTGAGCATATTTTTAGGTACTCTTACACTGGCATTCTGGTCGCCATTTTTGAAACATTAAATTACACTGACTAAACATTAACATGTTTAAGCAATATAAATTGTAGGGGGAAAAAAGAAAGGAATCCTAAAATCAAATTATACAAAATGCTGGTCAAAAAAGTAAGCCTAATTTCACATCTATCCAGGCCAGGGGTAGACAGACAATGGCTAAGAGAGACTTCCCAGATCAGCCTTTATTGCCTAGACAGGTGAAGTGGGAACTACTGAAGCAGTAACTAAAAACCTTGTTCCTGAGATTTAAGATTGCAGATCTGATCTTATTTGGTTCCAGATTCGTTTGACTTAACATAATTTTTACTTTTTATTCATATCCCATCTTCCCAGGATATTTGATTAGTCCTGGGACTATTATTCTGTGGGATCTTTTCTTTCTCTCATATCTTAGAACATCTTTATCTTTACATTATTTCTACCTCTGGTAATGGAATTTCTGACAATAAAGTATGCCCTAGGAATACATCCTCTTCATTACCAACAGAATGAGTATTTTGAAGAAGAGTAAAATTCAAGTACAGCTTGAACATGTGGGTGAAGGAGATGTGACAGAAAAGAAAAACAAAGACATTAAATAAGATCATAGAAAACTGTTTAAGAAAGGTTTTCCTGGGGGCAAGATGGCAGCGCCGGGAGGACTCTCATTCTGAGGAGCAGCA